TGCCATCACGAAGTTATGGCTCGGACAGCGTTTGCCTAGCGTTGGAGTGCTAGCATACTAGCGTTGACTCGGTAGCATTATGCCGTGAAACCGCATAGAAACGAAGTTCCAGCAAGGAAGAAATTTGTTTGAATCAAATTGACTATATCCAGATACAATTAGAAAAGGAATCAATAGTTCTAGCTAGGAAGAACCTTGGGAATCAATCTGGGAACAAACAGGGATGATACCAAATTATTCCAAGCAACACAACCAACCTGGATGGACAAAATAGAAGGTGGTAGGTTAGTAAACAACCTCTGGATCTGTTTTTTCAACCTAGGAAAACAACAACCAGGTTCAGGTCCTGAAAACAGAACCTGTTTTGTCTTTGCCCAACCAGCCAAATCCTGGTTCCGCTGGTTCCCCTGGCCCTGTAGCATGCAGATACAGTGAAACAACATCCAACCTTCACCTAAATTGTACCCCTATTGTGCCTGCCTTGCTATACTATAGTCAACCAAACAAAACAGTACAATTTTGAGTCAGATAGAACTGAATACGCGCAATCAATTAAACTGAACTGCAAAGCTTCCATCTTTGGTTCCTTTGCGAGCTCGTCCTTTCTGCTTTAACTGTTTATAGAGCGTACAATATTGTGCAGAAGCTCACATTGCGCGAGTACCTGCAAATGCTTCAAGCCAAAATTGCGAAAGCAAACAAACACACGAACATTCCATTCAGACGCAAAAGCGTTCGCACATGCATACTCATACAAACAGACGGCAGGATGTCGTGCAATGTGAATTTGCACCCAATAGTATATGGGGTAAGTAACGTACAAACTCGTAATACCAACCATATGGGTAAATAACGCACTTAGAAGTAGTCATAAGGGTAAGTTACGTACTTAGGGTATGTTCCTCTCCTGTCTCTAGCATCAAGCCAAGTTCTCCGTTTGTCAAGGTTTTCTAGTGAGGTCTGACACAAATCGTAAAATTTGCCTCGTGCCCGTCAATTCGTCCTCGTATCAAGCAGCCTGGCCCGAAGCTTGACACAAGCCTCTTCCCCTTAGTATTTGTACCTTCCATGTAGGTAAATATCGCAGCTTCTCTTAGTATCAACCTTAATGGTAAGATACGCAGTTACTCTTAGAACCATAAGTATGGGTAAAAGAACATATCTACTCTTAATACCGACCATATGGGTAAGCAACACACCTAGCTCTTATTACCGACCGTATAGGTATGTATCGCACGTACTCTTAGTACCATCTGTATGAGTAGCAACACACGGTCCGTACGGAGGAAGGGGCAGGGTGGGAAGAAGCTGAACGCACAGAGGGGTGAAACGAGGGGCACGGATGGTAAGAAACAAGGGCATGGTTGCGGGAAATCAACGGCAGGGAGGAGAGAATCGATGGGTCAAAACAAAGGAGGGGCAGAGGGGGTACAAGGTAAGCTCAGGGAGGGGAGAAACCATGGACAAGGGCATAGGCGGCCAGGGGCAGGGAGGGAACAATGGAGATGCATGGAGAAAGAAAGGGAGGTGCAGGGAGGGGAGGAACCAGGCGTGGGGGGCGCAAAATGAGGGGCAGGGCAGGGAGGAGGGAGAGGAGGCGAGCGTAGAAAAGCAGCGAAGAGCAGGGAGGGGAGATAACAAGCGCAGGGGGTGAGAAACGGGGGCAGTGTGCAAATTGAGGAGAGGCAGGGAATGGAGTAGGTTAGCGAGGGGAAGGAAGAAGCGTGCGGCAGAGGGGGGGAGCGGGGATGAGGAGGTAAACGAGGGAAGGGTACGGGCGGGGAGGAATGAACGGAGTGTGGTGGGAAACAGTTAAGGGAGATAGGAAGGGTCAAAAGAGGCGGCAAAGAATCGGGCACACGGGGGGTCGGGGCAGGGGGATCGGATGGCATGAGGGGGCAGGGGGTGTTGCTACCCATCTGTAAGTATCGCATATGGTCGGTACTAAGAGTTGGTGCGTTACTTACCCATACAGTTGGTACGAAGAGTAAGTGCGTTACTTACTCATCCGATCGGTATTAAAAGTAAGTGCTTACCTATATGACGATGGTACTAAATTTAAGTGCGTAACTTACCCATACAGTTTGTATTAAAAACAAGTGTCTGACTTACCCATTCAGTTGGATGTTGGTCCCGTCCTCGCTGGGGTGATCAACTGCTGTTGGCGACGACGACTTGGACGAGCAGGTCGACGGGCTTGGTCGACCACCAGAGGACCACTGCGAAGCCGGCGGCCAACTTCAACTGTGGTCTACGAAGAAAGTCGTCGACCTGGGAGGGCCGCCGACATGGGGGCGCCGACCTGGGGAAGCCGACGTGGTGCAGTCGGCGGACAGCTGGTCTGGTCAATCTGGTGTGGTCGACCTAGAAAGTGGCCGACTTGTTGAAGTTGGTTGGTGGTCGTCGACTCGGGTGGTCGACGAGCACGTACAGTGGTTGGTCGACTGCTACTGCACAAGTCGACGCCGACTTCGTGGTGTCTGAGTCGACCAAGTAACCAAAGCAACGAGGTTCTGAGGGGTATGCGCGACCGTCGCCCAGTTAATTCTGACAAAGCCGACCTCGGACTGGTATCCCGAGGTCAACTTGGCTCATCGGTCGCAGTCAACCGCACGTGGTTGACTTGGCACTTGCCAATGTACGTGACGGAGCACATAACACCAACCAACTCCAAGCAGCTGCGAAGTGGGTGCGCTGCTGTCACCTGCTGGTGCAACGCTGGACTTGCTGCAGCGTTGGCAAGCCGTCGACTTGCACCGTTGGCAAGCCACCTTTCTGCAGCACTGGAGCGGTGAGGGCTTTGGAGTGCTGGAATGCGGTCGACCTTGCTGCGCCGGAAGGCGCCTGCTTGCATACTAGGCAGACCTGCTTCTAATGTAGTCGGCTTTGTTAATAATAAGCTACCATTGTTCTCATCTTTTTCTATTGAAACTCTTGCGATTTTGCCCTCTGAACGCAAAAGTCTTAGAGAACACCAAGAGACGCCACGATCACCCACATATCTATGCATTTCCTTAAAGTCTAGCTCTTATTGTATAATTAGTCTTTGCATGGTGCGTTAAGCGTGGACGGCCTCGCAATTTACCTTCAGAGTAGTCGACTTAGGTGCGTAGCCGTCTTGGTCGCCATCGTATGCCACGAGCTGGAAGCTGGATACTCTGCAGGCAAGAGAGGCTGATGTGAAGAGACGCTAAGAAGCTTGTAAATTCGAGCCGCTGCTCCCCATGTAGGTGGTTCTCTTGAGGATCCACCCGCTGTGGGCTACGGAACGCCCTTCTTGACTTGCATCTTTTCGAAAGGTGCACAATGAAGGCGGCGTCGACAAGGAGGTCGACGGCGGCGACCAAGTCGGCGGCAACGACGGCAGGGCGAGACCGAGAGGAGTGATATGGAGGACCGCGGACGGTGAAGTCGGCGGGGTGCAGGCACAAGGATAGCGGTCGTCGGCTGCCGCAGGCAGCTTGCACGGCGACGACGGCAGACGACACCTGCGTCCCCGACCCACATGTTGGCGGGCGGAATAGCGCTCACAAGATTGCTGTCCCCCTGCCGCTGGTCGGCCAACATAACCTCATTACGGGGAAGGGGTCCATCGAGCCCGAGCTTGAGATAGCCGGCTTGATGTGCTACGCCAAAAGCTCTGTGGACACGCCAACGTAGGCCAACGTTGAGCTGCGTGCGAAATTTCGCGTCGCTCATCTGCTTACCTTCATGGTCATCTTGCGGTGCTACTCACCGGTGGTGCAGATTGCCCTGAAGCCGTGCCGAATTCGAATGGACGCCGATATTTCATCACGTCGACTTACGAGGCGGCCGACGACCTGTACATCGGCCAGCTGTAGGAGCAGCTGACTCGCCTGAGGATAGAAGAACAGGAGACGGCGACCGACAACTGCAACCGTGCTTGGCGGCTTCTTGTTAATATGCGGATTGCTGGCGTTGACTATTTGATAGCATCGTACATCATGCACGTCGTCAAGAAGCTTCAGAGCGGCTAGAACCTGATCGGCCGATTGATGGTGATGCGGGGCATGCGCGAGTCCCTTGTTGGGTGCAAATTCACATTGCACAACATCCTGCCGTCTGTTTGTACGAGTATGCGTGTGCGAATGCATTTTGGGTGTGAATGGAATGTTCTTGTGTTTGTTTGCTTTCGCAATTTTCGCTTGAAGCATTTGCAGGTACTCGCGCATTATGCGGTTCGGCATAACATTGTACGCGCTATGAATAGTACAAGCAGAAAGGACGAGCTCGCAAAGGAACCCAAGATGAAAGCTTTGCGGTTCGGCTTACTTGATTGCGCAGATTCAGTTCTATCCAACTCGAAATTGTACTGTTTTGTTTGGTTGACTATAGTGTAGTAGGGCAGGCACTATAGGGGTACAATTCAGGTGAAGGTTGGATGTTGTTTGTCTGTATCTGCATGCTACAGGGCCAGGGGAAACCAGCGGACCCAGCATTTGGCTGGTTGGGCAAAGACAAAACAGGTTCTGTTTTTAGGACCTGAACCTGGTTGTTGTTTTCCCAGGTTGGAAAAACAGAACCAGAGGTTGTTTACCAACCTACCACCTGCTGTTTTGTCCAGCCAGGTTGGTTCTGTTGCTTGGAATTATTTGGGATCATCCTTGGTTGTTCCCAGGTTTATTCCCAAGGTCCTTGCTAGCTAGAACTATTTATTCTTTCTCTGTTTATACCTGGATATAGTGAAGTTGATTCAAGCGAATTCCTTCTGGAATTTCCTTTCTACGCGGTGCGACGGCGGAATGCTACTCGAGTCAACGCTAGTACGCTAGCACTCCAACGCTAGGCTAACGCTATCCGAGCCATAACTTCATGATGGCAAAACTTTTTGCGAGGCAACTTAGCGTATTTTAAAGCTCTTGGAGCGAGCCTCGATATAGGAAATTCTCAGCTTAATCCGATCGACGGTTTGCACGATACGCTGCACGAAGTTTAAGGTACTCTTGTTATTTTGACTTAGTCCTTCTTGATCCCTCTCTCTACAAACTCGGACCTGAGGATAGGGGCTGGTCTTGTACCAGGCACCCAAGGACCCTTGGAGGTGACCCCGAGGAGAGGTTTTAAGTTTGATAAAGTCTTAATAGCTTGAGTTTATTAGGCCCTTACACCAACAATCTGGTATCAGAGCTGCGTTATAGTGATCCTCGATATAGGTAGCTATGGCGGGCAACACCTCGACGGGAGCTGGTGAATCTTCAGCCCAAGATCATAGCGGCAGCCATGATTCTGGTGTTTCAGCGCCAAGGGGAGCGCGAACAAACCAGGGCTCGCTGGTCAAGGAGGTGCTGAAGAATTCACCAAGACGAGAAGATGAAGCCGCCTGCCACAGCGCCTCCGGGATGCGCTGTGGGTCGGCGTACGGCACCGACGTCAACCACGCTCCTGCACCTCCGCCCTGAAGGGAAGTCAAACGGGCAAGGTGCAAGGGAGAGGCGTGACGGGCACGCACGGCCTCCAAGGCATGCGCCTCCAGAAGACGGCTCGCTCCTGCAAAAAGGGAATCGGGGGAGGCAGAAGCGCAAGAGGGCCAGGGGGGAAGGAGAGAGAGAACGTCAGGTGGGAGACCCTCTAGCGCCGTCTGCAGAGCCCGGTCGATCTGCTCTGGCTCACCTGAAGCGAAGCTCTGCCGAAACACCTCGCCACACGCAGAGAGAGAACAGAGAATGGGTGCACACTGCACCCAGGAGCACACGAAACTCACCAGGGCAATGCGCGCCATGCGACGAATGCCGAAACCCCCGAGACGGATGGGGAGGAAGATCTGGTCTAAGGCGGCCTCTCGGACGTCCTCGCGACAAGCCCAGGTCCCTGAAGCTAAAAGCTGCTGAAAAGTCTCTCCCAGGCGTGCGTCCCATCGTGTAAAACTGGAGATCACTGCGGGCGAAGGAGGGACGGTCCTCGACAGGTACTGCGGACGAGTGCTGACACACGCCGAAAGAAGGCGGGCAGCTGTCTGGGGCTGGCGCAACCTCGGAAGCCAAGGTAGCACCCGCCCCATCCTCTCGAGACGATCCGGGAGACTCTGCTCCACGAACGAAACGGTGCCTACCGGTACGCCTGTCACGGTGAGCCCTCGGCGTGCGACCTCGATCCCTAGGCCCGTGAAAGCCTCCAGATCCCTGGACAGAAAGGACTCTGTCTGGTAGACGAGGCACTTGTGCGGCTGGGCTGCAAGGCCCATCTCGCCCAAGCGCCTCACGATCTCGGCAAAGTGGTGCAGCACCCTGTCTGGGGGACCTAGCACGTACGTGTCATCGGCGTACGACCAGAGCTGGACATCCCCCTCCGCCAGAACCGGCTCCAAAGCAAGACGCTGTGTCAGAGCGTACAAGAAGGGGCTGAGAGGGTCTCCCTGGCGAGTGCCCCGCTCCGAGTGCATCGTGACCACTCCCGTGCCTGACCTGTAGTGGAGATCCGAGGGCGTCCCGTAGAAGAGGCCGATGAAGGGGATCAGACACTGAAACTCCGGACTGGCCTGCAGCGCCTGAAACATCCTGTCTCGGTGGAAAGAGTTAAAGGCATTCGCCACGTCTAGCTGCAGGACCACCCAGTCTGGGTGGTCAGCCAGAGCGCGGCGGACGCCTCTAACTACGACCTCTGTCCCGCACATAACCCCCACCCCAAACTGCTGTGATGCCAAGAAGACCCTCGCCATCTGGTCACGTAGCTGGAGACAAACTGCCCGAGAAAGAATGCGGACCAAAACCTCGCCGATGGCAATCGGCCGAACATCCATGTTCGACTTCGCCAGAGCCACGAGGGTGGAAGACGCTAGCAAGGAGCGCGCAGCTGAAGCGCAACGGCCTCGGAGCCACTGCTGGTACACGGCCAGGAGGAAATGGAGACTCTGAGGGAAAGCTAAGAAAGTGTCTCGCAGGTGCTCAGCGACCCAACCGGACGGTCCTCCCGAAGAGCCCCGCGGAGCTGTGAAAATCGCGCGGCGTAAGTGATCCACCGAGAGCACGAGAGGGGACCCCTGGAAGCCAGACAGCCAAGCTGGGGTCGGCCTCTCCGCGTTGGGGTGCTTTGACTGCAGGCGCTGTATCGTCCCCTGTGTATCTGGGGCTGCCTCCGCGGACTCGAGAGCCGCGCACGCCCGTGAGGTCTCATTGCACGCTGCCAGACGAAGGCAACGTGCAATGCGGCGCTCATCTGCTGTAGAGGGATCGGTGGCGGTGCGTGACCGGTGACCTGTGCGCCGAGGAAGGGGTGAGCGACGGCCTAGTGCATCTGAGACTAGCTCAGCCCACTCACCTCGACCAAAGCGGGAGATGCGCGTTGCAATGGCAGCCGTGTGCGAGCGGTCAGGTGGCGTCGCTGGAACAAGGAAAAGAGTCGGCGCTGCAGCGAGGAGGAAGGTAGGGCCAGCAGCCTCTGGGTCCTGGGCAATGCGGACTAGGATCGCACTGAGGACGTCAAGATATCCTCCGCGGACCCTCTCCGGGACACGTCGGAGAGGGCGTGTATGGATACGCTCGGGCGAGAAGTATTCTGTCCAGTCCACCGAGTCGAGCGTCTGCCACTGTGCGTCGGTGAACTGCATCCCGGTCGCACGGGGCTGTGAGAGGGAAGGGATGATCGAGGCGGTATCATGGGCAGCCTGCGCCCTGCGAGCCACGTCCGCAGGATGGCAGAAGGGAATGTGGTGCTGGAGCGCGCGTCGGTTCGCGAGAGAGCTCCTGCAGGTGGGGCAACTCACGACCTGGTCGGGTGATGTCGCCGTGTCGGCGGGGTCAATCGGGGCCGTGGCGTCGGAACTGGCTGTAGAGGGGACCCCGTGGGCGGCCTGAGCTCCGAGAGGATCGCCTGGGATGAGGGGAGGAGACGACTCACCAGCCCCGCGCGGGGGGGGTGTCAGCGAAGATAGAGGTGGTGTCGCACAGGATAGGGCCGGGCCTCGTGCCGGTACCGGTGTCGAAGCTGGGGAGGGGGGACGTGGAGGTGAGCCTGAAGTGTGTGCCGTGGTGTGCTCCTGCCCCTCGGCGGGGTGCGGTTCAAGTGACGGCTCTGCTACCCCAGGCGGAGGGGTCTCGGTAGGGGCGGATGCCTCATCCCTACTGCTGGTGACCTCCTGCGCCACGGGCTGAACGGGGGGAGGCACCACCCTGTCTAGGTGCGAGTGACACGGCCTCAGAACCCGGTCCGTCTCCATTGGGGTCGGGAGTGACGCGCCTGGCTGAGTGGCGGGGGGGATAAAAGAAGGGACAGACCGAGTGACCTCCGCATACGTCCGGGTCCGGTCCTGTGGGACTGGAAGGGTGGGGGCAGCCGGAGAGCTGCTCAGGCGGTGTATCGCCAGCAAATCTGAAATGCCAGCCCTCACCTCCTCTGGGGTCTCGAAGACCTGCCTGCCTGTAGGTGAGAGTAGGAGGGCTGGCAGGGTAGAGGGTGGAGTGGGGCGTGCTGGCTGAGCGGAGCTCGGGTGTGGACCCTGCCCTAGAAGGCCCCCTTGGCCCTCCCCAATCACCATGGGTTGCGGTAGGGGGTCGTCGACATGGAAGGGGTGGGAGGGATGGGAGGGGGAGTCGGTGGCGTCTGCCATGGGCGCATCCCTCAACCCGACGGCCTCCCTCCCAGTAGCGATCGCGGCCGCCGCCACCTGGGAGGGGGACACAGCACGGGAGGGGCAGAATGGGGGTGAGTGGGCTGGTCCGCTCCCATGGCCCTGTGGAGGTGCAGGAGCGGGGCGGGAGTGTAGGTTTGATGGTCGGGCTGTAGAGGTAGGGCCTGGTAAGGGTTCAACGGGATGTGAGGTGGGGAGGGGCTCTTGGTGGGGGAGGGAGGGAGGGGGGAGTACGTGGGCTGACCCTCTGCCTCCTCTGCCCCTGTTCTTCCGCCGGCGGCCAACCTGGTTGTCCGCGCCTGTTTGTGAAGGAAGGGGGGGCTGTGGGGCCAAAGAGGAGGGTGGTTGGAGGATGGGTGGTTCGCCAGGCGGGGGGTGCTCTGTGTGCATCCCCTCTCTCCTCGAAACATCCCCCTCCGTGGGAACAGATCGGGCAAGCTGTGTGTGGGGGGTGATGGCTGCCCAACGGGGCCACTCGTGGGGAACCCGGCCGGGAGAGGGGGTTGGAGGTGGGGGTCGAGGGGCTGGGCCAGTGTGGAGGTTAGAGCGAGGTACAAACGGTGGGGGGAGAGAGATTTGTGTGGGCTCTGTGGTGGCCTCTCCTGTGGGCCCCTCTACCCGGGTGCCGCCGCTCCCGTGAGCCTGGGGCGCAAGCCCTGTTGGGTGGTGTGGGGAGGGCAGCCTGTTGGGTGGGCGTGTTGGGGCTGTGCGGCGACTCGGGTGGTTTGGGTGCCTGTAGCGTGTGGGAGAGGGATTTGGCCGCAGAGATGCTTCAACCTCCGAGATGTGTGTACTACCGGGTGGGGGGGGGCCTGGTGGAGGAGGGGGTAGTGGGCCGGTAGGGGGTGGCTGGGTGTTGGTAGGAGTCGGGGAGCATGGCTCCTCTAGGAAGACCAGAGCCCTGGCTGCTCCACGTGGTGCTCTAAGGAGCCCCTGAGGGTGGGGGCAGAGGTGTGCTGCCCTTGGGGGTGAAGGAAGGAGTGAGGGAAGGGGCGGGGAGGGGTGAGAGGTGAGAGAAGGGGTGCCCTCGGGTGACTCTGCTCTTGTCGCACCCGCGTGCTCTCCCGGTGGACCGCCTGCAACCGTGGGGTCAGGCGTTGGGGACGGAGAGGGGGGCTGGCCATGGAGCAGCGTGGGGGTCGGGGAGCACGGCTCCGCCAAGAAGGCCAGGGCCTTGGCTGCCCCCCTGGACACTACCGGGACCTGAGGGTGGGGGTGGGGAAGTGGTGCTCCTGGGGGTGGGTGGGCTGGAGGACGGGAGGTGAGGATGGGGGCTCCCTCGCGCGGCTCTGTCCTCAAGGTCTCCCCCAGCCCCTCCATCGGTCCTTCTGCTAGCATGGGGACGGGCCTGGGGGGTAGAGGGGGAACCTCGACGTGAGGCTGCAGGGGGGCCGGGTCGGCCTCACCGTCAAGCGTGAGGTATTGGGCCAGTGGCCCGTCAATGTGCATCACATCCTCTCCCTCATCCTCCTCTATCGCTATCACATCCCCCTCTTCAGTGCCCACCCCGGTCGGGACCACACTCCCCTCTCCTTCCCCTGTTGCCCCTATGTCCCCCGAGCCCACCCCGCCTACTGCCGCTTTACTGCTAGCCCCTTTTGCAGTCTCTGCCGGCCCTGCCGGCCCTGCTGTGTGTTTCCCCGCGTTTGCTGCGGCCCCTGCCGCCCCTACTGGCCGTGCTATGGCCCTCCCTGCAGCCTCACCTTCTGCCTTTGAGGCCACTGCTGTCCCCTCTCCCACTGTAGCCCCTGCCGTACCCTCTCTTGCTACAGCCGGGGCGGCACTCTCCCTCGCACCAGTCCCCGTTACCCCCTTCCCCGCTGCACCCGTAGCACCTCCCCCTATACCAGCCCCCACTGTGGCCTCTGTCGCTCCTGCTGCAGTCCTTGCAGCCTCGACTGCTGCAGTCTGTAAAACCTCGCCTACCGTAATCTGCTCAGCCTCACCAGCCGCGATCCCTGCAGCCTTGCCTGCCGCGGTCCCTGCAGCCTCACGTGCTGCAGTCCCTGCAGCCTCACCCGCTGCAGTCCCTGCGGCCTCACCTGCTGCAGTCTGTGCAGCCTCACCTGCTAGAATCTGCTCAACCTCACATGCTGCGGCCTCTGCAGCCTCACCGGCTGCGGCTATTTCAGCCTCACCTGCTGCGCTCCCTGCGGCCTCACCTGCCCTGGTCCCGCCTGCAGCCTCATCCGCTGTGGTCCCTACCGCCTCACCTGCTGCAGTCCCTGCGGCCTCACCTGTTGCAGTCCCTGCGACCTCACCAGCTGTAGACTGTGCAGCCTCACCTGCTAGAGTCTGCCCAACCTTACATGATGCAGCCCTCGCAGCCTCACCTGCTGCGTCCGCCGCAGCCTCACCTGCTGCGGCCCCTGCAGTCCCGCCTGCTGCGCTCCCTGCAGCCTCGCCTGCTGCGCTCCCTGCAGCCTCGCTTGCTGCGCTCCCTGCGGCCTCACCTGCTGCGCTCTCTGCAGCCTCACCTGCTGCGCCCCCTACAGCCTCACCTGCTGCGCTCCCTGCAGCCTCACCTACTGCGCTCCCTGCGGCCTCACCTGCCATGGTCCCTCCTGCAGCCTCACCCGTTGTGATCCCTGCAGCCACACCTGCTGTGGTCTGTGCGGCCTCACCTGGTGCGGTCCCTATAGCCTCCTCTGCTGCGGTTCCCCCAGCCGACACAGCAGCAGGTTCCGTGGCCCCTACTCCTGCAAAACCTGTCTCCATGGCCTCTGCCCTTTGCCTGGCCAGAGTCACAGTCCCTGCCGCCCCTTCCCGTGCAGCCCCTGCCGCCCTTTCCCGTGCAGCCGCTGCTGCCCCTTCCCTTGCAGCCTCTGCTGCCCTTTCCTCTGCAGCCTCTGCTGCCCCTTCCCCCACAACCCCCATTGCCCCTTCCCGTGCAGCCTTTGCTGCCCCATCCTCTGCAGCCTCTGCTGCTCCTTCACACACAATGCGGGAGGCGGTGCCTACACGGCCTGTGCGTCCGACTGGTCCCTGCTGTTGCGCTGGCTGCTGCCCTGTCTGGTCCCTTGGTGCCCCCTCTCCGATCGTCTCTCTCCCCCTCTCCTCTCCTCCATCCACCTGTCCTCTCCCCTCCCCCTCTCTACCCTCCCCCAAACCTCCCGACCCCCCTGCTCCATCCCCTGCTGCCTCTCTCACTCCCTGGCCCTCCCCTCCCAATCCCGCTGCCCCTCCTGTACCTCCGTCCGCTCTCTGCTGCTCCTGCCCCTGCCCCGCCCCCGAGGCCGAACCTGGAGGCGCGGCGCCCTGGGCCCGCGGCCTCCACTGGCTCTCCTGCTGCTGCCTGTGCCGTCCCCCCTCCCCGTCCTGGCCCGTCTGCTCCCCCTGCCGTCCCCTCTGCCCACCTGTCCCTCGCTCCACCTGACCCCGCAGCTGGTGCCGTCCCCACTGTCCCCCGCCACCCGGCTGTCCCGCCTCGCCTCTCCGCTCCCCCGGTCCCTCAGCCCGTGTCCCCTCTCCCACCACTGGCTGTCCCAGTAGTCTCGCTTGAGCCGCCTCCAACTGTGTGAACAGCGTAGAGTCCTCCACCTTTACCGCGAAGCCCGCCTCGACCGCAAAGTCTCGAAGCATGTACTTCACCGTGTCGTGGATGGTAGTGGCGACCCCGTAGCGCGGGCACCGAACCGCGTGATGAGGCACCGTCATGTCGTCAATCGCCTGTCCGCAGGAGCACTGACCTGCAAGGGCTAACTGGGGGATAGGGAGACCAAGACGAGAAGATGAAGCCGCCTGCCACAGCGCCTCCGGGATGCGCAGTGGGTCGGCGTACGGCACCGACGTCAACCACGCCCCTGCACCTCCGCCCTGAAGGGAAGTCAAACGGGCAAGGTGTAAGGGAGAGGCGTGACGGGCACGCACGGCCTCCAAGGCATGCGCCTCCAGAAGACGGCTCGCTCCTGCAAAAAGGGAATCGGGGGAGGCAGAAGCGCAAGAGGGCCAGGGGGGAAGGAGAGAGAGAACGTCAGGTGGGAGACCCTCTAGCGCCGTCTGCAGAGCCCGGTCGATCTGCTCTGGCTCACCTGAAGCGAAGCTCTGCCGAAACACCTCGCCACACGCAGGGAGAGAACAGAGAATGGGTGCACACTGCACCCAAGAGCACACGAAACTCACCAGGGCAATGCGCGCCATGCGACGAATGCCGAAACCCCCGAGACGGATGGGGAGGAAGATCTGGTCTAGGGCGGCCTCTCGGACGTCCTCGCGACAAGCCCAGGTCCCTGAAGCTAAAAGCTGCTGAAATGTCTCTCCCAGGCGTGCGTCCCACCGTGTAAAACTGGAGATCACCGTGGGCGAGAGCAGTACTGGGCGGGGTGACCTCCCGGGAAGTCCTCGTGTTGTACCCATTTATGCCCCTTGCTCGGCACGTGCCGGGGGAGGGGCAAGCGGGAAAAAGAAAGGACGATTTCAGCGCGTCCGATTTTTTTATTTCCGTTTTTTTGCCTGAACAACGACCCAGCGGGGTGGGGGACCCCCGAGGAGGCTTGCCCGTGCAAAGAAACGCCCCGTGCGCACCATCGTTGGGCGGTTGGAAGCCGCACACGGTCGCAGGGGGTGGAGAGCGGAAACGGGCAGCCGGGGGAGGGTGGGGGCGGTTGGATGGGACTGGGGTGTACGGGGGGCAGGGGAGTTGAGGGGGCAAGGGGAGGGGCAGCAACGGGCAGGGGCTGGGCCAGCTGGGGGCACGGAAAAGGGGCGGGCAGAGGGTGAGCAGAGGGGCGAGCGATGCAAGGGAGGCACCATAGGGGGGAAACCAGTTGCACGGAGGTGGGAGGTGAGGGGCGTGCGAGGGGGTGGGAAAGGGGCAGGGAGGGGCAGAATGGGAGGATGTGGGTGGGGGGTGGGGGAGGGGAGTGTGCGTGTGTGTGTGAGAAAGAGAGAGAGGGAAAGGGAGGGGGGGAGAGAAGGGTGGGAGGGGGGCTGGTGGTGGGGATGGGCTGATGGTGGTAAGAGGGCAGCAGGGATGGGGAGAAGGGAGCGTAACGAGGGGAGAGCAAAGGGCAGGGGGGGAGGAAGGGAGGGGCAGGGAGGGAAGAGGCTGAACGTACAAAGGGGGGGAGACGAGGGGCATGGATGGTAGGAAACAAGGGCAGGGGTGCGGGAAATCAAGGGCAGGGAGGGGAGAAGCAATGGGTGAGGGGAAAACAAGGGAGGGGCAGAGGGGGGGCAGGGAGGGAAGAAACGTGGGGCAGGGAGGGGAGAAGCCAAAGACAGGGGCATGGGCAGGCGGGGGCAGGGAGGGAGCAAAGGAGAGGCACGGAGAAAGAAAGGGAGGCGCGGGGAGGGGAGAAACCGGGCGTGGGGGGGCGGAAAACGAGGGGCAGGGCGGGGAGGAGGGAGGGGCAGGGAGGGGAGAAGCTGAGCACACAGAGGGGGGAAAGGTGGGGCAGGGAGGTAGGAAGCCAAGGGCAAGGGGGGGAGAGTGGGGGGGCAGGGAGAGGGGGGAGGTGGGGAGCGGAGAAAGGCGGCGAGGGGCAGGGAGGGGAGAAACCAAGCATAGGGGGGCGAGATACGAGGGGCAGGGTGCGGATTGAGGAGGGGCAGGGAGTGGAGTGGGTCGGCGAGGGGAAGGAAGAGGCGTGCAGCAGAGGAGGGGAGGGGGGAGGAGAAGGTAAACGAGGGGAGCGCACGGGCGGGGAGGAGCGAATGGCGGGCGGTGGGAAACGGCGAGGGGGGCAGGGAGGGTCAAAAGAGGCGGCAAGGGAGCGGGCACGCGGAGGGTAGGGGCGGGGGGAGCGGATGGCATGAGGGGGCAGGGGGTGTGACTATGAAGGGGGGACCCGGGCAAGGGGTGTGTACCGGTCGGGGCACGGGGTTGACGTGGTACGATCATAACTCGGCTACTACGCCGGATCCCATCAGAACTCCGAAGCTAAGCGCTGGTGGGCGAGAGCAGTACTGGGCTGGGTGACCTCCCGGGAAGTCCTCGTGTTGTACCCATTTATGCCCCTTGCTCGGCACGTGCCGGGGGAGGGGCAAGCGGGAAAAAGAAAGGACGATTTCAGCGCGTCCGATTTTTTCATTTTCGTTTTTTTGCCCGAACAACGACCCAGCGGGGTGGGGGGCCCCCGGGGAGGCTTGCCCGTGCGAAGAAACGCCCCGTGCGCACCACCGTTGGGCGGTTGGAAGCCGCACACGGTCGCGGGGGTGGAGAGCGGAAACGGGCAGCCGGGGGAGGGTGGGGGCGGTTGGATGGGACTGGGGTGTACGGGGGGCAGGGGAGTTGAGGGGGCAAGGGGAGGGGCAGCAACGGGCAGGGGCTGGGCCAGCTGGGGGCACGGAAAAGGGGCGGGCAGAGGGTGAGCAGAGGGGCGAGCGATGCAAGGGAGGCACCATAGGGGGGAAACCAGTTGCACGGAGGTGGGAGGTGAGGGGCGTGCGAGGGGGTGGGAAAGGGGCAGGGAGGGGCAGAATGGGAGGATGTGGGTGGGGGGTGGGGGAGGGGAGTGTGCGTGTGTGTGTGTGAGAAAGAGAGAGAGGGAAAGGGAGGGGGGGAGAGAAGGGTGGGAGGGGGGCTGGTGGTGGGGATGGGCTGATGGTGGTAAGAGGGCAGCAGGGATGGGGAGAAGGGAGCGTAACGAGGGGAGAGCAAAGGGCAGGGGGGTAGGAAGGGAGGGGCAGGGAGGGAAGAGGCTGAACGTACAAAGGGGGGGAGACGAGGGGCATGGATGGTAGGAAACAAGGGCAGGGAGGGGAGAAGCAATGGGTGAGGGGAAAACAAGGGAGGGGCAGAGGGGGGGCAGGGAGGGAAGAAACGTGGGGCAGGGAGGGGAGAAGCCAAAGACAGGGGCATGGGCAGGCGGGGGCAGGGAGGGAGCAAAGGAGAGGCACGGAGAAAGAAAGGGAGGCGCGGGGAGGGGAGAAACCGGGCGTGGGGGGGCGGAAAACGAGGGGCAGGGCGGGGAGGAGGGAGGGGCAGGGAGGGGAGAAGCTGAGCACACGGAGGGGGGAAAGGTGGGGCAGGGAGGTAGGAAGCCAAGGGCAAGGGTGGGAGAGTGGGGGGGGCAGGGAGAGGGGGGAGGTGGGGAGCGGAGAAAGGCGGCGAGGGGCAGGGAGGGGAGAAACCAAGCATAGGGGGGCGAGATACGAGGGGCAGGGTGCGGATTGAGGAGGGGCAGGGAGTGGAGTGGGTCGGCGAGGGGAAGGAAGAGGCGTGCAGCAGAGGAGGGGAGGGGGGAGGAGAAGGTAAACGAGGGGAGCGCACGGGCGGGGAGGAGCGAATGGCGGGCGGTGGGAAACGGCGAGGGGGGCAGGGAGGGTCAAAAGAGGCGGCAAGGGAGCGGGCACGCGGAGGGTAGGGGCGGGGGGAGCGGATGGCATGAGGGGGCAGGGGGTGTGACTATGAAGGGGGGACCCGGGCAAGGGGTGTGTACCGGTCGGGGCACGGGGTTGACGTGGTACGATCATACCTCAGCTACTACGCTGGGATCCCATCAGAACTCCGAAGCTAAGCGCCGGTGGGCGAGAGCAGTACTGGGCTGGGTGACCTCCCGGGAAGTCCTCGTGTTGTACCCATTTATGCCCCTTGCTCGGCACGTGCCGGGGGAGGGGCAAGCGGGAAAAAGAAAGGACGATTTCAGCGCGTCCGATTTTTTTATTTTCGTTTTTTTGCCCGAACAACGGCCCAGCGGGGTGGGGGGCCCCCGGGGAGGCTTGCCCGTGCGAAGAAACGCCCCGTGCGCACCACCGTTGGGCGGTTGGAAGCCGCACACGGTCGCGGGGGTGGAGAGCGGAAACGGGCAGCCGGGGGAGGGTGGGGGCGGTTGGATGGGACTGGGTTGTACGGGGGGCAAGGGAGTTGAGGGGGCAAGGGGAGGGGCAGCAACGGGCAGGGGCTGGGCCAGCTGAGGGCACGGAAAAGGGGCGGGCAGAGGGTGAGCAGAGGGGCGAGCGATGCAAGGGAGGCACCATAGGGGGGAAACCAGTTGCACGGAGGTGGGAGGTGAGGGGCGTGCGAGGGGGTGGGAAAGGGGCAGGGAGGGGCAGAATGGGAGGATGTGGGTGGGGGGGTGGGGGAGGGGAGTGTGCGTGTGTGTGTGTGAGAAAGAGAGAGAGGGAAAGGGAGGGGTGGAGAGAAGGGTGGGAGGGGGGCTGGTGGTGGGGATGGGCTGATGGTGGTAAGAGGGCAGCAGGGATGGGGAGAAGGGAGCGTAACGAGGGGAGAGCAAAGGGCAGGGGGGGAGGAAGGGAGGGGCAGGGAGGGAAGAGGCTGAACGTACAAAGGGGGGGAAACGAGGGGCATGGATGGTAGGAAACAAGGGCAGGGAGGGGAGAAGCAATGGGTGAGGGGAAAACAAGGGAGGGGCAGAGGAGGAGGGCAGGGAGGGAAGAAACGTGGGGCAGGGGGGGGAGAAGCCAAAGACAGGACCATGGGCAGGCGGGGGCAGGGAGGGAGCAAAGGAGAGGCACGGAGAAAGAAAGGGAGGCGCGGGGAGGGGAGAAACCGGGTGTGGGGGGGCGGAAAACGAGGGGCAGGGCGGGGAGGAGGGAGGGGCAGGGAGGGGAGAAGCTGAGCACACAGAGGGGGGAAAGGTGGGGCAGGGAGGTAGGAAGCCAAGGGCAAGGGGGGGAGAGTGGGGGGGCAGGGAGAGGGGGGAGGTGGGGGGCGGAGAAAGGCGGCGAGGGGCAGGGAGGGGAGAAACCAAGCATAGGGGGGCGAGATACGAGGGGCAGGGTGCGGATTGAGAAGGGGCAGGGAGTGGAGTGGGTCGGCGAGGGGAAGGAAGAGGCGTGCAGCAGAGGAGGGGAGGGGGGAGGAGAAGGTAAGCGAGGGGAGCGCACGGGCGGGGAGGAGCGAATGGCGGGCGGTGGGAAACGGCGAGGGGGGCAGGGAGGGTCAAAAGAGGCGGCAAGGGAGCGGGCACGCGGAGGGTAGGGGCGGGGGGAGCGGATGGCATGAGGGGGCAGGGGGTGTGACTATGAAGGGGGGACCCGGGCAAGGGGTGTGTACCGGTCGGGGCACGTACGATCATACCTCGGCTACTACGCCGGATCCCATCAGAACTCCGAAGCTAAGCGCCGGTGGGTGAGAGCAGTACTGGGCTGGGTGACCTCCCGGGAAGTCCTCGTGTTGTACCCATTTATGCCCCTTGCTCGGCACGTGCCGGGGGAGGGGCAAGCGGGAAAAAGAAAGGACGATTTCAGCGCGTCCGATTTTTTTATTTTCGTTTTTTTGCCCGAACAACGACCCAGCGGGGTGGGGGGCCCCCGAGGAGGCTTGCCCGTGCGAAGAAACGCCCCGTGCGCACCACCGTTGGGCGGTTGGAAGCCGCACACGGTCGCGGGGGTGGAGAGCGGAAACGAGCAGCCGGGGGAGGGTGGGGGCGGTTGGATGGGACTGGGGTGTACGGGGGGCAGGGGAGTTGAGGGGGCAAGGGGAGGGGCAGCAACGGGCAGGGGCTGGGCCAGCTGGGGGCACGGAAAAGGGGCGGGCAGAGGGTGAGCACAGGGGCGAGCGATGCAAGGGAGGCACCATAGGGGGGAAACCAGTTGCACGGAGGTGGGAGGTGGGAGGTGAGGGGCGTGCGAGGGGGTGGGAAAGGGGCAGGGAGGGGCAGAATGGGAGGATGTGGGTGGGGGGTGGGGGAGGGGAGTGTGCGTGTGTGTGTGTGAGAAAGAGAGAGAGGGAAAGGGAGGGGGGAGAGAAGGATGGGAGGGGGGCTGGTGGTGGGGATGGGCTGATGGTGGTAAGAGGGCAGCAGGGATGGGGAGAAGGGAGCGTAACGAGGGGAGAGCAAAGGGCAGGGGGGGAGGAAGGGAGGGGCAGGGAGGGAAGAGGCTGAACGTACAAAGGGGGGGAAACGAGGGGCATGGATGGTAGGAAACAAGGGCAGGGGTGCGGGAAATCAAGGGCAGGGAGGGGAGAAGCAATGGGTGAGGGGAAAACAAGGGAGGGGCAGAGGGGGGGCAGGGAGGGAAGAAACGTGGGGCAGGGAGGGGAGAAGTCAAAGACAGGGGCATGGGCAGGCGGGGGCAGGGAGGGAGCAATGGAGAGGCACGGAGAAAGAAAGGGAGGCGCGGGGAGGGGAGAAACCGGGCGTGGGAAGGCGGAAACAAGGGGCAGGGCGGGGAGGAGGGAGGGGCAGGGAGGGGAGAAGCTGAGCACACGGAGGGGGGAAAGGTGGGGCAGGGAGGTAGGAAGCCAAGGGCAAGGGGGGGAGAGTGGGGGGGCAGGGAGAGGGGGGAGGTGGGGGGCGGAGAAAGGCGGCGAGGAGCAGGGAGGGGAGAAACCAAGCATAGGGGGGCGAGATACGAGGGGCAGGGTGCGGATTGAGGAGGGGCAGGGAGTGGAGTGGGTCGGCGAGGGGAAGGAAGAGGCGTGCAGCAGAGGAGGGGAGGGGGGGAGGAGAAGGTAAGCGAGGGGAGCGCACGGGCGGGGAGGAGCGAATGGCGGGCGGTGGGAAACGGCGAGGGGGGCAGGGAGGGTCAAAAGAGGCGGCAAGGGAGCGGGCACGCGGAGGGTAGGGGCGGGGGGAGCGGATGGCATGAGGGGGCAGGGGGTGTGACTATGAAGGGGGGACCCGGGCAAGGGGTGTGTACCGGTCGGGGCACGGGGTTGACGTGGTACGATCATACCTCTGCTACTACGCCGGATCCCATCAGAACTCCGAAGCTAAGCGCCGGTGGGCGAGAGCAGTTATTCATTAATAAGGGAAGAGCAAATACAAGCCGAATATAATGGTTTTTCCAAGACTAGGAAATTTCGACATAGCCTAATCGCTATGAGGACGGTATATATATTTTGCAGGAAAAGGGGGAAAGAAAGGAAAGGAAGGAAAGATGAAGGTGTAAGAAGAAGTGGTAGGGAAAGGAAGAGGGTGGTAGGAAGAGAAGGGAAGGATAGAAGAAGGGAACAGAAAGAGGGAGGTGGGAAGAGAAGAGGAGAGAGGGAGAGAGACTAAGGAGGAGGAAGCACCAAAGGACCAAACACGGCAGCAACCCGCACGACCGCACGGGCACAGCGTTTCAAGCACAGCCACTATTGTTTTTTACACATATGCATCATATATATACTGCATATCAGCCACACTCTCGAAGCACCCTGTGACGTGGTGCCAAGTTCCCTGCCCCGCACCCAGTGGGACTGGTGCGGGCATCCACCCGTCGTCGGACCTCCCTAACTGCCGCACCGCATGCTGGATCATGCATTGAGCCTGCGCGCGCTGCAGTGCAACAAAGAGGCGTGTAGAGAGTCCTGCCTCAAATATCCGTGCCGATCCGTCATCCCCCCCACCTCTATCCCTCCTCCGCTGTGCTATCCTCTTTGCGCAGAGCCCCAGAAACTGACGCATCGGCTCACTCAGAAGGCCAAAGGTCTCCGCCACGCACGCGTAAAAGTGTGAGCGAGAGCAGTACTGGGCTGGGTGACCTCCCGGGAAGTCCTCGTGTTGTACCCATTTATGCCCCTTGCTCGGCACGTGCCGGGGGAGGGGCAAGCGGGAAAAAGAAAGTACGATTTCAGCGCGTCCGATTTTTCTATTCTCGTTTTTTTGCCCGAACAACGACCCAGCGGGGTGGGGGGCCCCCGGGGAGGCTTGCCCGTGCGAAGAAACGCCCCGTGCGCACCACCGTTGGGCAGTTGGAAGCCGCGCACGGTCGCGGGGGTGGAGAGCGGAAACGGGCAGCCGGGGGAGGGTGGGGGCGGTTGGATGGGACTGGGGTGTACGGGGGGCAGGGGAGTTGAGGGGGCAAGGGGAGGGGCAGCAACGGGCAGGGGCTGGGCCAGCTGGGGGCACGGAAAAAGGGCGGGCAGAGGGTGAGCAGAGGGGCGAGCGATGCAAGGGAGGCACCATAGGGGGGAAACCAGTTGCACGGAGGTGGGAGGTGAGGGGCGTGCGAGGGGGTGGGAAAGGGGCAGGGAGGGGCAGAATGGGAGGATGTGGGTGGGGGGTGGGGGAGGGGAGTGTGCGTGTGTGTGTGTGAGAAAGAGAGAGAGGGAAAGGGAGGGGGGGAGAGAAGGGTGGGAGGGGGGCTGGTGGTGGGGATGGGCTGATGGTGGTAAGAGGGCAGCAGGGATGGGGAGAAGGGAGCGTAACGAGGGGAGAGCAAAGGGCAGGGGGGGAGGAAGGGAGGGGCAGGGAGGGAAGAGGCTGAACGTACAAAGGGGGGGAAACGAGGGGCATGGATGGTAGGAAACAAGGGCAGGGGTGCGGGAAATCAAGGGCAGGGAGGGGAGAAGCAATGGGTGAGGGGAAAACAAGGGAGGGGCAGAGGGGGGGCAGGGAGGGAAGAAACGTGGGGCAGGGAGGGGAGAAGTCAAAGACAGGGGCATGGGCAGGCGGGGGCAGGGAGGGAGCAAAGGAGAGGCACGGAGAAAGAAAGGGAGGCGCGGGGAGGGGAGAAACCGGGCGTGGGAAGGCGGAAACAAGGGGCAGGGCGGGGAGGAGGGAGGGGCAGGGAGGGGAGAAGCTGAGCACACGGAGGGGGGAAAGGTGGGGCAGGGAGGTAGGAAGCCAAGGGCAAGGGGGGGAGAGTGGGGGGGCAGGGAGAGGGGGGAGGTGGGGGGCGGAGAAAGGCGGCGAGGAGCAGGGAGGGGAGAAACCAAGCATAGGGGGCCGAGATACGAGGGGCAGGGTGCGGATTGAGGAGGGGCAGGGAGTGGAGTGGGTCGGCGAGGGGAAGGAAGAGGCGTGCAGCAGAGGAGGGGAGGGGGGAGGAGAAGGTAAGCGAGGGGAGCGCACGGGCGGGGAGGAGCGAATGGCGGGCGGTGGGAAACGGCGAGGGGGGCAGGGAGGGTCAAAAGAGGCGGCAAGGGAGCGGGCACGCGGAGGGTAGGGGCGGGGGGAGCGGATGGCATGAGGGGGCAGGGGGTGTGACTATGAAGGGGGGGACCCGGGCAAGGGGTGTGTACCGGTCGGGGCACGGGGTTGACGTGGTACGATCATAGCTCTGCTACTACGCCGGATCCCATCAGAACTCCGAAGCTAAGCGCCGGTGGGCGAGAGCAGTTATTCATTAATAAGGGAAGAGCAAATACAAGCCGAATATAATGGTTTTTCCAAGACTACGAAATTTCGACATAGCCTAATCGCTATGAGGAGGGTATATATATTTTGTAGGAAAAGGGGGAAAGAAAGGAAAGGAAGGAAAGATGAAGGAGTAAGAAGAAGTGGTAGGGAAAGGAAGAGGGTGGTAGGAAGAGAAGGGAAGGATAGAAGAGGGGAACAGAAAGAGGGAGGTGGGAAGAGAAGAGGAGAGAGGGAGAGAGACTAAGGAGGAGGAAGCACCAAAGGACCAAACACGGCAGCAACCCGCACGACCGCACGGGCACAGCGTTTCAAGCACAGCCACTATTGTTTTTTACACATATGCATCATATATATACTGCATATCAGCCACACTCTCGAAGCACCCTGTGACGTGGTGCCAAGTTCCCTGCCCCGCACCCAGTGGGACTGGTGCGGGCATCCACCCGTCGTCGGACCTCCCTAACTGCCGCACCGCATGCTGGATCATGCATTGAGCCTGCGCGCGGTGCAGTGCAACGGAGAGGCGTGTAGTGAGTCCTGCCTCAAATATCCGTGCCGATCCGTCATCCCCCCCACCTCTATCCCTCCTCCGCTGTGCTATCCTCTTTGCGCAGAGCCCTAGAAACTGACGCAGCGGCTCACTCAGAAGGCCAAAGGTCTCCGCCACGCACGCGTAAAAGTGTGGTGCCGGCTGCAGCCCCTCTAAGTGCGGCCCCCAGTGACGCAGCTTCTCCTGCACCCGCCTAGCTGCTGCCACTCCAATCTGTGTGGGGGTCGCCCGTCTCAGCTGCACGTTCCCCTCCCGCTGTGGATCCGCTATGGAGACATCCACAAGAACCATCAGACCCTGGCCAACGTCGCGGCAGGTGAGATCTGGAATGCGGGAGGCGGTGCCTACACGGCCTGTGCGTCCAACTGGTCCCTGCTGTTGCGCTGGCTGCTGCCCTGTCTGGTCCCTTGGTGCCCCCTCTCCGATCGTCTCTCTCCCCCTCTCCTCTCCTCCATCCACCTGTCCTCTCCCCTCCCCCTCTCTACCCTCCCCCAAACCTCCCGACCCCCCTGCTCCATCCCCTGCTGCCTCCCTCACTCCCTGGCCCTCCCCTCCCAATCCCGCTGCCCCTCCTGTACCTCCGTCCGCTCTCTGCTGCTCCCGCCCCTGCCCCGCCCCCGAGGCCGAACCTGGAGGTGCGGCGCCCTGGGCCCGCGGCCTCCACTGGCTCTCCTGCTGCTGCCTGTGCCGTCCCCCCTCCCCGTCCTGGCCCGTCTGCTCCCCCTGCCGTCCCCTCTGCCCACCTGTCCCTCGCTCCACCTGACCCCGCAGCTGGTGCCGTCCCCACTGTCCCCCGCCACCCGGCTGTCCCGCCTCGCCTCTCCGCTCCCCCGGTCCCTCAGCCCGTGTCCCCTCTCCCACCACTGGCTGTCCCAGTAGTCTCGCTCGAGCCGCCTCCAACTGTGTGAACAGCGTAGAGTCCTCCACCTTTACCGCGAAGCCCGCCTCGACCGCAAAGTCTCGAAGCATGTACTTCACCGTGTCGTGGATGGTAGTGGCGACCCCGTAGCGCGGGCACCGAACCGCGTGATGAGGCACCGTCATGTCGTCAATCGCCTGTCCGCAGGAGCACTGACCTGCAAGGGCTAACTGGGGGATAGGGAGACCAAGACGAGAAGATGAAGCCGCCTGCCACAGCGCCTCCAGGATGCGCAGTGGGTCGGCGTACGGCACCGACGTCAACCACGCTTCTGCACCTCCGCCCTGAAGGGAAGTCAAACGGGCAAGGTGCAAGGGAGAGGCGTGACGGGCACGCACGGCCTCCAAGGCATGCGCCTCCAGAAGACGGCTCGCTCCTGCAAAAAGGGAATCGGGGGAGGCAGAAGCGCAAGAGGGCCAGGGGGGAAGGAGAGAGAGAACGTCAGGTGGGAGACCCTCTAGCGCCGTCTGCAGAGCCCGGTCGATCTGCTCTGGCTCACCTGAAGCGAAGCTCTGCCGAAACACCTCGCCACACGCAGGGAGAGAACAGAGAATGGGTGCACACTGCACCCAAGAGCACACGAAACTCACCGGGGCAATGCGCGCCATGCGACGAATGCCGAAACCCCCGAGACGGATGGGGAGGAAGATCTGGTCTAGGGCGGCCTCTCGGACGTCCTCGCGACAAGCCCAGGTCCCTGAAGCTAAAAGCTGCTGAAATGTCTCTCCCAGGCGTGCGTCCCACCGTGTAAAACTGGAGATCACTGCGGGCGAAGGAGGGACGGTCCTCGACAGGTACTGCGGACGAGTGCTGACACACGCCGAAAGGAGGCGGGCAGCTGTCTGGGGCTGGCGCAACCTTGGAAGCCAAGGTAGCACCCGCCCCATCCTCTCGAGACGATCCAGGAGACTCTGCTCCACGAACGAAACGGTGCCTACTGGTACGCCTGTCACGGTGAGCCCTCGGCGTGCGACCTCGATCCCTAGGCCCGTGAAAGCCTCCAGATCCCTGGACAGAAAGGACTCCGTCTGGTAGACGAGGCACTTGTGCGGCTGGGCTGCAAGGCCCATCTCGCCCAAGCGCCTCACGATCTCGGCAAAGTGGTGCAGCACCCTGTCTGGGGGACCTAGCACGTACGTGTCATTGGCGTACGACCAGAGCTGGACATCCCCCTCCGCCAGAACCGGCTCCAAAGCAAGACGCTGTGTCAGAGCGTACAAGAAGGGGCTGAGAGGGTCTCCCTGGCGAGTGCCCCGCTCCGAGTGCATCGTGACCACTCCCGTGCCTGACCTGTAGTGGAGATCCGAGGGCGTCCCGTAGAAGAGGCCGATGAAGGGGATCAGACACTGAAACTCCGGGCTGGCCTGCAGCGCCTGGAACATCCTGTCTCGGTGGAAAGAGTTAAAGGCATTCGCCACGTCTAGCTGCAGGACCACCCAGTCTGGGTGGTCAGCCAGGGCGCGGCGGACGCCTCTAACTACGACCTCTGTCCCGCACATAACCCCCACCCCAAACTGCTGTGACGCCAAGAAGACCCTTGCCATCTGGTCACGTAGCTGGAGACAGACTGCACGAGAAAGAATGCGGACCAAAACCTCGCCGATGGCAATCGGCCGAACATCCATGTTCGACTTCGCCAGAGCCACGAGGGTGGAAGACGCTAGCAAGGAGCGTGCAGCTGGAGCGCAACGGCCTCGGAGCCACTGCTGGTACACGGCCAGGAGGAAATGGAGACTCTGAGGGAAAGCTAAGAAAGTGTCTCGCAGGTGCTCAGCGACCCAACCGGACGGTCCTCCCGAAGAGCCCCGCGGAGCTGTGAAAATCGCGCGGCGTAAGTGATCCACCGAGAGCACAAGAGGGGACCCCTGGAAGCCAGACAGCCAAGCTGGGGTCGGCCTCTCCGCGTTGGGGTGCTTCGACTGCAGGCGCTGTATCGTCCCCTGTGTATCTGGGGCTGCCTCCGCGGACTCGAGAGCCGCGCACTAGCCCGTGAGGTCTCATTGCACGCTGCCAGACGAAGGCAACGTGCAATGCGGCGCTCATCTGCTGTAGAGGGATTGGTGGCGGTGCGTGACCGGTGACCTGTGCGCCGAGGAAAGGGTGTGCGACGGCCTAGTGCATCTGAGACTAGCTCAGCCCACTCACCTCGACCAAAGCGGGAGATGCGCGCTGCAATGGCAGCCGTGTGCGAGCGGGTCGGGTGGCGTCGCTGGAACAAGGAAAAGAGTCGGCGCTGCAGCGAGGAGGAAGGTAGGGCCAGCAGCCTCCGGGTCCTGGGCAATGCGGACTAGGATCGCACTGAGGACGTCAAGATATCCTCCGCGGACCCTCTCCGGGACACGTCGGAGAGGGCGTGTATGGATACGCTCGGGCGAGAAGTACTCTGTCCAGTCCACCGAGTCGAGCGTCTGCCACTGTGCGTCGGTGAACTGCATCCCGGTTGCACGGGGCTGTGAGAGGGAAGGGATGATCGAGGCGGTATCATGGGCAGCCTGCGCCCTGCGAGCCGCGTCCGCAGGATGGCAGAAGGGAATGTGGTGCTGGAGCGCGCGTCGGTTCGCAAGAGAGCTCCTGCAGGTAGGGCAACTCACGACCTGGTCCGGTGATGTCGCCGTGTCGGCGGGGTCAATCGGGGCCGTGGCGTCGGAACTGGCTGTAGAGGGGACCCCGTGGGCGGCCTGAGCTCCGAGAGGATCGCCTGGGATGAGGGGAGGAGACGGCTCACCAGCCCCGCGCGGGGGGGGTGTCAGCGAAGATAGAGGTGGTGTCGCACAGGATAGGGCCGGGCCTCGTGCCGGTACCGGGTGTCGAAGCTGGGGAGGGGGGACGTGGAGGTGAGCCTGAAGTGTGTGCCGTGGTGTGCTCCTGCCCCTCGGCGGGGTGCGGTTCAAGTGACGGCTCTGCTACCCCAGGCGGAGGGGTCTCGGTAGGGGCGGATGCCTCATCCCTACTGCTGGTGACCTCCTGCGCCACGGGCTGAACGGGGGGAGGCGCCACCCCGTCTAGGTGCGAGTGACACGGCCTCAGAACCCGGTCCGTCTCCATTGGGGTCGGGAGTGACGCGCCTAGCTGAGTGGCGGGGGGGATAAAAGAAGGGACAGACCGGGTGACCCCCGCATACGTCCGGGTCCGGTCCTGTGGGACTGGAAGGGTGGGGGCAGCCGGAGAGCTGCTCAGGCGGTGTATCGCCAGCAAATCTGAAATGCCAGCCCTCACCTCCTCTGGGGTCTCGAAGACCTGCCTGCCTGTAGGTGAGAGTAGGAGGGCTGGCAGGGTAGAGGGTGGAGTGGGGCGTGCTGGCTGAGCGGAGCTCGGGTGTGGACCCTGCCCTAGAAGGCCCCCTTGGCCCTCCCCAATCACCATGGGTTGCGGTAGGGGGTCGTCGACATGGAAGGGGTGGGAGGGATGGGAGGGGGAGTCGGTGGCGTCTGCCATGGGCGCATCCCTCAACCCGACGGCCTCCCTCCCAGTAGCGATCGCGGCCGCCGCCACCTGGGAGGGGGACACAGCACGGGAGGGGCAGAATGGGGGTGAGTGGGCTGGACCGCTCCCATGGCCCTGTGGAGGTGCAGGAGCGGGGCGGGAGTGTAGGTTTGGTGGTCGGGCTGTAGAGGTAGGGCCTGGTAAGGGTTCAACGGGATGTGAGGTAGGGAGGGGCTCTTGGTGGGGGAGGGAGGGAGGGGGGAGTACGTGGGCTGACCCTCTGCCCCTGTTCTTCCGCCGGCGGCCAACCTGGTTGTCCGCGCCTGTTTGTGAAGGAAGGGGGGGCTGTGGGGCCAAAGGGGTGGGTGGAGGGAGGATGGGTGGTTCGCCAGGCGGGGGGTGCTCTGTTTGCATCCCCTCTCTCCTCGAAACATCCCCCTCCGTGGGAACAGATCGGGCAAGCTGTGTGTGGGGGGTGATGGCTGCCCAACGGGGCCACTCGTGGGGAACCCGGCCGGGAGAGGGGGTTGGAGGTGGGGGTCGAGGGGTCGGGCCAGTGTGGAGGTTAGAGCGAGGTACAAACGGTGGGGGGAGAGAGATTTGTGTGGGCCCTGTGGTGGCCTCTCCTGTGGGCCCCTCTACCCGGGTGCCGCCGCTCCCATGAGCCTGGGGCGCAAGCCCTTGCGGGTGGGTCTCGGCTGCCTGGGGGGGGTGGTGTGGGGAGGGCAGCCTGTTGGGTGGGCGTGTTGGGGCTGTGCGGCGACTCGGGTGGTTTGGGTGCCTGTAGCGTGTGGGAGAGGGATTTGGCCGCAGAGATGCTTCAACCTCCGAGATGTGTGTACTACCGGGTGGGGGGGGGGCCTGGTGGAGGAGGGGGTAGTGGGCCGGTAGGGGGTGGCTGGGTGTTGGTAGGAGTCGGGGAGCATGGCTCCTCTAGGAAGACCAGAGCCCTGGCTGCTCCACGTGGTGCTCTAAGGAGCCCCTGAGGGTGGGGGCAGAGGTGTGCTGCCCTTGGGGGTGAAGGAAGGAGTGAGGGAAGGGGCGGGGAGGGGTGAGGGGTGAGAGAAGGGGTGCCCTCGGGTGGCTCTGCTCTTGTCGCACCCGCGTGCTCTCCCGGTGGACCGCCTGCAACCGTGGGGTCAGGCGTTGGGGACGGAGAGGGGAGCTGGCCATGGAGCAGCGTGGGGGTCGGGGAGCACGGCTCCGCCAAGAAGGCCAGGGCCTTGGCTGCCCCCCTGGACACTACCGGGACCTGAGGGTGGGGGTGGGGAAGTGGTGCTCCTGGGGGTGGGTGGGCTGGAGGACGGGAGGTGAGGATGGGGGCTCCCTCGCGCGGCTCTGTCCTCAAGGTCTCCCCCAGCCCCTCCATCGGTCCTTCTGCTAGCATGGGGACGGGCATGGGGGGTAGAGGGGGAATCTCGACGTGAGGCTGCAGGGGGGCCGGGTCGGCCTCACCGTCAAGCGTGAGGTATTGGGCCAGTGGCCCGTCAATGTGCATCACATCCTCTCCCTCATCCTCCTCTATCGCTATCACATCCCCCTCTTCAGTGCCCACCCCGGTCAGGACCACACTCACCTCTCCTTCCCCTGTTGCCCCTATGTCCCCCGAGCCCACCCCCGCCTGCTGCCGCTTTACTGCTAGCCCCTTTTGCAGTCTCTGCCGGCCCTGCCGGCCCTGCTGTGTGTTTCCCCGCGTTTGCTGCGGCCCCTGCCGCCCCTACTGGCCGTGCTATGGCCCTCCCTGCTGCTTCAGCTGCAGCCTCACCTTCTGCCTTTGAGGCCACTGCTGTCCCCTCTCCCACTCTAGCCCCTGCCGTACCCTCTCTTGCTACAGCCGGGGCGGCACTCTCCCTCGCACCAGTCCCCGTTACCCCCTTCCCCGCTGCACCCGTAGCACCTCCCCCTATACCAGCCCCCACTGTGGCCTCTGTTGCTCCTGCTGCAGTCCTTGCAGCCTCGACTGCTGCAGTCTGTAAAACCTCGCCTACCGTAATCTGCTCAGCCTCACCAGCCGCGATCCCTGCAGCCTTGCCTGCCGCGGTCCCTGCAGGCTCACGTGCTGCAGTCCCTGCAGCCTCACCCGCTGCAGTCCCTGCGGCCTCACCTGCTGCAGTCTGTGCAGCCTCACCTGCTAGAATCTGCTCAACCTCACATGCTGCGGCCTCTGCAGCCTCACCTGCTGCGGCTATTTCAGCCTCACCTGCTGCGCTCCCTGCGGCCTCACCTGCCATGGTCCCGCCTGCAGCCTCATCCGCTGTGGTCCCTGCCGCCTCACCTGCTGCAGTCCCTGCGGCCTCACCTGTTGCAGTCCCTGCGACCTCACCAGCTGTAGACTGTGCAGCCTCACCTGCTAGAGTCTGCCCAACCTTACATGATGCAGCCCTCGCAGCCTCACCTGCTGCGTCAGCCGCAGTCTCACCTGCTGCGGCCCCTGCAGTCCCGCCTGCTGCGCTCCCTGCGGCCTCACCTGCTGCGCTCTCTGCAGCCTCACCTGCTGCGCCCCCTACAGCCTCACCTGCTGCGCTCCCTGCAGCCTCACCTACTGCGCTCCCTGCGGCCCTCACCTGCCATGGTCCCTCCTGCAGCCCTCACCCGTTGTGATCCCTGCAGCCACACCTGCTGTGGTCTGTGCGGCCTCACCTGGTGCGGTCCCTATAGCCTCCTCTGCTGCGGTTCCCCCAGCCGACACAGCAGCAGGTTCCGTGGCCCCTACTCCTGCAAAAACCTGTCTCCATGGCCTCTGCCCTTTGCCTGGCTAGAGTCACGGTCCCTGCCGCCCCTTCCCGTGCAAGCCCCTGCCGCCCTTTTCCCGTGCAGGCCGCTGCTGCCCCTTCCCTTGCAGCCTCTGCTGCCCTTTCCTCTGCAGCCTCTGCTGACCCTTCCCCCACAACCCCCATTGCCCCTTCCCGTGCAGCCTTTGCTGCCCCATCCTCTGCAGCCTCTGCTGCTCCTTCACACACAAACTCACGTACCCCTTCCCGTGCAGTGTCAGCTGCAAGTTCCCCCCTGGCTCTGCCCTCTCCCGCTTCTATGTGCTTGGGGTGTGCGGGTAGGATTAAGTGTTTTCACAAGTAATCTGGTTTGCGAATGGGAGGTAGCGAGTGAGTTGGAGGATCTCTCTACTAAGCATGCATGGGTGCCGCCCCCGCTGTCACCTGAATGCGCATGCCTGGGTGCCGCCCCCGCTGTCACCTGAAGGGGGGGTAGGCTGGGATGGGCAAGCGGGGGTAGGGCGCGGTTTTGAGCGTGCTGGCTCCTCCTCGTGTATTTCCTCCAGTGGGGCTTGGCGTTCCTCTGTTCCATCCTCTTCAAAGGTACGCTTCTGGCCCCTAGGGTCAGATTGTGTGAGTGTTTTCGCTTGGTCAGGTGTGTGTTGTTTCTTCCTGACTGTTGAAGTGGGGGGAGTGGGAGAATAGGGGGTGGCTCGGCTGCGGGACCTCCCAGATCGCCGAGGGGCTCCCGGGTCTGCCTTTCCCCCACTCGCGGGGTGCTGGGGCATTGTTACAGAGGCAGCATGCCTGGCGGTGGCGGTGTGAGTTGCTGGAGTTGGCTCAAGAGGGCGTCAAAGGGGGAAGGAACTCCCTGGCAGAGGCCGGGGTGCGGGGGGTTAGCTTGGGGAAAGGGGAAAAGGGTGGGGAAAGCGGTGCGCAGTGGGTGGAAGAGAGGGTAGAGGGGGCCTGACAGTTGGAGGGGATTGGGGCCCAAGGGGGGGGCGGGCTGGGGGCCGGTTGAGAGGGGAAGTGTTGGCGGGCTGTAGTGGAGGTGGGGGGGGCGGGGGTGATGTAGCGGTGGGTGAGCAGGGTGTGGGGACAGGTGGTGGGCCGGAGGTGGGGAGGGCAGGGCAGAATTCCACGGGAGGTGGGGGTGGGGCAGGTGGAGCCAAGTGGGAAAGGAAAGGGTGGGGAACAGAGAGGAAGGGGGCAAAGGGTAGTGGGTAGTCGAGTTGGCGTGAGCCTGGTAGCGGGTAATGAGAAGGTTGGGAGGCGGGGGGTGAGAACGTGGGAGGGCAGAGAGGGCACCGAAAGGAGGCGCTGTGGTAAATGCAGAATAGGATGCGGGGCCGGGAAACAGGGGACAGAGGGAATTGGGGAAACGATGAAGGGGTGATAACTGCGGATGGGCGAGCCCCAGGGGGGAGGAAATATGGAGGGTGTTGGAGAAGGGGGAGACTGGGGGGGGTTGAGGTAGGGTGTTGGAGGGCACAAGGGCAGGAACAGGGGGTGCAAAGGTTGGCTGGGGGAGGGAGAGGCGGTCTGGTGCCGCGGAAAGGCGGAGGGAGGTTGGGGACGGCACAGCCCAGGGAGCAAAAGCAAGGGGTGTAGACCTTGGCTGGGGGTAGGAACGGCGGTGTGGAGTTAGGGAGAGGTAGAGGGAGGCTGGGGGGAGGTGGAGGTGGCTGGATTGCGCAGGGAGCAGGGGCAAGGGGGTGTAGAGATTGGATGGGGGTGGGAAAGGCGGCGTGGTGCCAGGTGGCGGCAGTTGGGTCCACCGAAGGGCCTGGCAGGGCGGGATGCAGAGGTGCAGCCCACGCTGGATGCGGGAAGTAGCTGGGGGGAAAGGGAGGCTGGAGGGGAAGTACGGCTCGTAGAGGTGTGGGGGGCAGAGTGGGAGTGGGGAAGGCAGGAGGGGGGGTGGAGGAGGGACGTTGTGGACAGGGGAGTGGGGGAACATGCGGGTGATGATAGGGAGAAGCCGGGGGGGGGGGAGAAGGGGGAGGTGGTATTAAGTGGGCAAGGGTGACGCACGGGCAGAGCGCGGCGGTACTAAGGGCAAGGGAGACGGGAGGCTGGGGGGGAGAAAAGCCTGCTTGGGGGCGTGGTGGGGGATAAGGGGAAAGGG